TGAATCTTGGATGTAATCTTCACTTTAGTTGTAAAACTCAACATATTTTAACAAATCAATTGGCCAGATTGAAAGTAAATTAAGATCGAAGTGAAAAGATCATCAAAAATTCTTTAATATTTTCAAGGCTCAACCAATTCAAATCACCATTTTACAAATCTCAAGATAAGGAGAAAGACAGAGAAAACTACTCAGAACTCATGGGGAAGACACAACAAAACTCAGAATATATATATAAAAGCAAAGTCATACAAACTACAGCAAGTAAATAACACTTATCTTTAATTCCTCCCCAAGCAAACCCCTCAAAGTTTCTCTGAATCTTTTCCTTTCTTTATAGCACACAAAATTCTTCTTTGAAGCGGCAAAGAGGAAGAAATCTCTCACGTTCCCTCCACTCTTACAATCTCTCGAAGAATTCCTCACAATCTAACCCTAAAGTAAACTCTCTACACACTAATGGGGCTCTTGGACGCTGTTCTAACCTTCCAACTCCTCAAACTCTCTCTTAATTTTCGGTCAAAATCTTCTTTTAAAGATGTAGAAGATTTTTCCCAAGAGTTACCTAAGCATCCCTCCAAAAATCATCCACATTCAATGCCCCTTTGGAAATAACTGCCGATCTCGTCGTCGGCGGCCTCCAGGGCGCCGTTGGCGGGGCGGCCTAACCGTTGGCGGGCCTTCTAAATTATTTGTCTGGAGTCTTCGGAAAATCTCGTCGTCGACGCCGTTGGGCTCGCCGTCAGCACCCTAGTTCAATGATTCACATTTTGGTCCTTCTCGCTCCAAATTCGCTTCTCGTTGGGCTTGCCGTTGACGTCGTTGGGCTTGCCATCGGCGCCCTAGTTCAATTCTTCACATTTTGGTCCTTCTCGCTCATTTTCTTAAAGTGCAATATCATCAAAAACAATGTAAAATAGGTATGAAAATCTCAACATATTTTCCTTTGGTCAGGTACTTGGTCGTGAGCTAACCATCAAAGAGTTGCGAGGTTATTTCCAATGCCACCACAATAAGGTCACAAGTCCATCTGTTCTAACTCTATGACTCTAATTTTAGAGCTGCGATGACAGGTGTTATACTATGTTTTATTGTCCCATCCATTAGTGCCACAAATCCAAAGTACTGATCTAAGAATTTATTTTTCTTATTAGACATGTGTTCAATGCGTTGCAACGCAGGGATCACAAATCTGATTGATCCATTAGTTGGGTTCCACTTAGTCAAACATTTTATGCCTTTATAAGAAGATTGACCCTAGTTTCTACCAATGGGTCATTAGTATACCCTTTATAAGAAGTTTGACCCTAGTTTCTACCAATGGGTCATTAGTATACCCTTACATAGAGGTGGAAACCTTCATTATAACTACGTGCTTATCTAGTCGAGTTTGATTATTTTGATCAAGAAAATCTCTAACCTTTATAGGTTGAAGACTTGGGGATTTTAATCCCAAACTGTTGATACACACACATGTTGGGATGCAATTCTTCAGTGTGACAAATAATTCAATCTTATAATGACCTTATCATTACTGGCTTGACAATTATATTTTTGTTTACACCATTTTGCATTTCACCCAAGCAGCGACCCTAGAAGCATGTAGGAAACTCATTGAAGTCCTACCACTACCTAGGACTAGGTTCTTGCATTAGGCTTTATAATATTAGTATGATCCCTGCATTGGTCCAAGATTTAAGAGAATTGATGAGTAGGCACCACACTCTGGCATAGGGGTGTTAACCCTTTGGTCTCTAGATTAGAGGGGCTATTCTGCAGTTGTATTTCCATAACATTATAACATCATCTCTAGTTTGACTACTGCATTAATTTGCATTTGCATGTTTGCTCTCATTCACACGCATCTTTGTAAGCACCGAGGCATTCATCGCATTTGCTTCACATGTCATTTCACATTTGTTATGTTGCATGCTTGTATTTTTATTTGTTGCATGTCATGTGGTTTGCTACCGTTGAATCTAGGGTATCAGTGGTTGGCGCCTAGGCACTGCCTTAGTGGCAATCTTGGTGTTAGCTATATTTCTATATAGGATAGAAGGTTAGTATCCAAAGATCATTTACTTGACTCTGCGATATCGTTCTTCTTACTCGGGGCTATAATTTATATGCATTGTATGACCATTTATGTTTGATCATGACTTTGCAATTTTTGCACTCACTTTCTACATCATGCATTTGCTGCATCTCCTTCAACATATCAACCTTATTGAGTCATGCCTTTAGGGTTTATTCCCTTATGAATTTGATTTACATGTTATGCATTTTCATACATTGGGTGTTACACTTTTTCCAATTGAAATTCATTTGTCTTCTACAGGTCTACGTTGCATTACTCTAAATGTCAATGGCATGGCTTTCACTAACCCTTAGATTAAACTATGATGATAATAGAAAAATGAGCAATGTCTACTTGTCTATCTGATTATAAATTGTGAATTATCTTATTATTACCAGATCTTATAGAACTGTAACAAGCATTAGTTTGGGTTAACATTCATCATTTGTTGAGATGAGTGTTAGCTCATTTAGATCTTGGACTTGAGCTTCTTTTCAAAGTCTCAAGTTCTCTCTTAAACCTCCTCCGCTTCATGTGAGGGATGAGACTCTATTTATAGTGTTTTGAGTGCAATTAATACATGAATATGAACCATTTTGATCGGAGGGTTTGATCTTGATCGGAGGGTCCGGAGAGCTCCCTTTGATCAGATGACATTTGATGGACATTTGAGTGCCTTAACGATGTCGGAATTGAGCAATATTGGATTTGTTGGATTCGTCTTGTCGAGACGCTCGATTTGACACTGAACTCGCTAGATTCGACATCCGTTTGACCTTTCAAATGCTTCCGGAAATCCTCCAATAGTGATTTAATGATTTGATCCGTGCTTGATTTGACTCGGATTGGACTGACTTTTGTATCATTAGGTCCGTCTTAATCGAAGTTTGAATGTTTCTTGTTCAAAAAATTGCATTGAGATTCGTGTCGGATGATGAAAATTTGTTGGTGGTGTATCATATATATATATATATATATTGATGAAAATGAAATATATTAATAAACATGATTCATATTCTAAATATTATAAGCTTATTTTTTAAAATTTTAGTAGTTATAAATCAAAATATAATATTAGTCTAATGATAATTATAAATTTTTCAGATATGATATACTAACCTAATAACTAAATAGCAAAAACATTATGACATATTTAATTCAATTTTATTTAACGAAATTTAGATGAAGTATAATCTAATTGATAAAATTATTTATATATTATTAAAGTAAAATTCATAAATTTATTTTTTTTTCATGAGCTTAATTATTTCAAATCACGGGCAAGAAAGTTTATATTGATTTTCCTGAACTGAGTATATATAAATATTTAAGCAAATTATTAAATGATATCATCAAAATTTAATGATAAAAAAAATTTGTTATGCCAATAA